ATATATATATATATGTATATATATATATATATATATACATATATATATATGTTTGATGCAAAGGCCTTCTTACAGCTTTGCTACAATTGCCAGATCAGATTTACCCAGCCAATTAATGACACCAGGAGGGTTGTGGGTACGCCTGGGATGTGGAAGTTGAGGACCAGATGCATAAAGGACATTGCTCTATTATTCTTGTAGTGGGGACTCCTTCATGCTGCTATGCTTCTCATTTCGTATGTCCAAACTGCCCAGGCAAGTAATTTAAACTTTGGGAGGTCTTGTGGGTCTTCTCCTTACTCTTCAAATCTCAGAGCCTATAGCCTGAAAGTTTATAAACAACAGTTAATAATTCTATTTAACAATAGGATATGAGAGAACATTCATTCTTCTCACTTAGTTTTTGTTTAAAAGCCAGAAAATGTCCATGATCAAAGAGTCATTTTTTGTCCAGATTTTAATTTATAGACTTTCCTTTATTTCGTGCTGGGAGAAAACACACAAAACTTGCTACAGTGATTTAAAAAATAATAATAACAAAAGGAAAACAATGAATGCACTTAATATAGACTGTTAGAAAAGGCCTTTGAAAATTACCAGCAAAGAAATCAAATGTATCAGCCACTTCAAACTGTGGTCAAAAGATTTTCTAGCCATCAGAAGCAATTACTATGTCTTTCTCAGAGCTCTGTTGTTGCTTGCATGCTCAATGTACAGTCGCCCTGGCAACTGTTTTGTTCCAAATGACTTAAGTCTTCAACTTCAAAATTATCAGTCTTTGATATGATCATCAGGGTCTCTGGAGAAGCATGGTTGTGATAGTGATTTTAATTTTCTTAAAAATGTAAACTGTGGACACTTAAAGGAACCAAACTAACCAAAGTATCCTCTAAAGTCCCATGATATCCTTTCCATCAACTCCTTAGGCCATGACCCTGTGGTACCTAGTTATGGTAGTGCAAATCAGATCAGAGCAAAGCAATGAAAACACACGTTCACTAAGTACTCCAATTACAAATGTAGGCAAAATGAGCTTCCACCTCTGTCCATTCCCTGCAGAGCCAATGTAGTTGTGCTTCCACCTCGTAGGCATTGTCCTGCGGTGATGTGTCAGACTGTGGTTACTTGTCGTCACATTTTGTAGAATTAGTTCTATAAAAGTATTGTGAATATAATGTACGTCCAATTGGATTGTTTAAAAACTACTTATAATTAATCAATAGTCAGCAGACTAAAATGACGTCAACAGTCTATATTCAGGCTTATAAACATTTCTTGGTTTCCAACAGAAGTCAAATGTGTTTGTGGGGAGAATCCCTTGTGAGGATTGTGACAACTTTCCTGAAAGCCAGGCCTTCTTTTACATAATGATTTTGCATTGGGGTCACCTTAATACATTCATTGTCAATCTGCGCTCTTCTTTCCTTCATGAACCAGTGTGGGCTCTTCTTTGCTCTTGTTCCTGAAAAACACCTCTGAATTTGTCACAGCTATTTGGTCTCCTTTGCAGGTGATGGTGACCGCCTAAATGACCTTCCGTTAGAGGAACATTGGCCACAGTGCCCCATACCCCTACCTCTCTGCCCTCTGTTCTCCACACCAAGGCAGTCTGGAAGCAGAAGTGCAGTCTCCATCCCCATCCAAAGTCTATTTATAGGTACAGATTTGAATCTAAAGTTTTTGTGTGTGTGTTGTTGTTTTGTTTTTTATCACGATGACTAAGATGGTTTCCTATAGCAAAGGGTTCTTTGGTTCATAAAGCACTCCACAAAATCTGAACTAGAAATCTATTTTCTTCAAAGGTAAAGCATCAAAATCATTCTGTTTTGCCCTCCTTTTTCTGACCTCGTTCTAGGTCAGAGAAACAAAATCAGGCATTTTTTTTTTAGGAGGTCCACAAAATGACTGATTGATAGTCCCTTGCACAAAAACTGGTGCCTGATAAGTTGAAAATGAGATGGAAACAGAAACAAGTTTGGTAGTCTGCTAAAGGGCTCAAGAGAAAGCCAGAGCTTCCTCACTTGTTTCTGTGTGCTGAGTTGTTTGGCCCTGAGTTCTTGTCTATTTCCACTGGGGTGGCCTTTCTGCTACATCCACCCCAAGCCCATGATGGTGTGCTTTGGTCCAGTTCACATAATGTGGCTGTGGTCTCCCATCCCAGTTTAGGGTTCCAGAAAAGCTCTTTTCCCAAACTAATGACTCTTGGATGCTTTGGGAATCAAAGACTCACCAACAGGCTTTTTACAAAGCAGAAAGTCTTTACTTAACTAGTGCATCATCACTACATCACCTTTCTCACCGAGAAAACTTTAATTTTTGTTTAAGCAGTGTTATGTTTTTGCATGTCATCTTGAGCCAATATAAAACATCTTAAATAAAAGCAACTGGGACAAAGACATTTTGGAGAACAGTCAGCAGTTCTTCCCTTCCTTCTTTTGTTGTACTTTGTAAAACACTTGATTGAAGGCTTTAAATAAGTAGAGAGTTAGAGCTATTTGATTAGGGTCAAAAAGGGGAAAGTGAGAAAGTATAATAAATGTGGGAATATTTTCATGATGAAAGGGAAAAGACCCCAGGTATCCTACTTACAGTTTAACATGAGATTCCAGAGCCACATCTGCAAAACATGAGCTATGAGCTTAGAAAATATTCCCTAAGCTCTCTCTCAGTGATCTCATTTGTAAATTCATGAACACGATTCCAAAGTCTCCTTCAGGTCGAATGGATATGATCAAGCTTGATAGGAACATGGAGTGTCTGTCTGCATTTCCCTGGCAAAGGGCTGGAGTAGTGATCCTTCTTGCTGAATCACTCAAGTAACACTCCTGACCTTAGAATGCTGTATGTTTTTTGCTTTGGACATAGAGTAGCTGGGCTCATTCCCATGCTTTTCACTTTGGAATCTCCTTCGGTTCAAGATACAAATTTATAAATTCAGATGCATGTTGATTAGAGTTTTTGGCCCTTCGCTAGAGTTTTCCTCTTGATTTCATTTCTACCTTCCCTTTTTCCTAGTTCAAGGCCCAGCCTCAGCTAATCTCGTAATCTCTAACCCATAACTCCAATTCCTAATATGTAGTTAGAGTCTTGAAGTTCTCAAAATTTCTGCTATTTTCACCATTTATGCTTCATCATGTGGATCTAGGCTTCAAGAAGTAAACAGTCCCCTTTCATTTCCTGTCCTGTCCTCTGTTGATTTGATTTTAAGGAATCTTTTGTTACTACTGCAAGACAACAAGTCACCCAATGCAGTGCTCGCGTCTTCACACCTTTCGCTCCCTGTTACCAGTCATTCAGACCCAGCATGTTTCCCCTCTAGTGACTCACTAGGAAGCCAGCAACAGGCCCACAGAGTAGATTAGAAGGGAGGAACACAGAGGGACTTCAGAAAGTTCATGGAAAAATGGAACTAAAGGACAAGTTTATTTTGGTGCAAATCTTTTTTTTAAGATTAAAACTAATGTGCATGGTTTTTCCCCATAATGCACATTTTCAATGAACATTCTGAAGATCCTTTACAGATGTTCAGATTTTTTAAAAAACTTGACAATCATAGTATTGTCTAGACATTAATATAATAAGAACATGAGGCAGATCAGTGACAAGTTATAAGGAATATTCAGCAGTCCAAATATGTATTCCCAGTATGAAAGGACTCAGGTAACCATTGCTTAGTAACCAGTTAGCATTCAGCAAATACATGCAGAGGAAACGGAGGTGCAGAAAGGAATAAGCACGATGTGGTCCTGCTGTCAAGAAGCTTATAATCCAGCTAGAGAGGAAACATGCTAGCAGAACCAGTAGAAAAAGAGTACGCACTCATGACACGATACCACCTTCTAATACGGCAGGAGCTGAAAGGGAAAATTGCTGTGTTTTGATGTGATTTAGCAAGATAGGCTTTCAATGAGATTTAAGAGTTAGATGAATAGAAGGACATCATTCCATGTATGAAGACAGGGTCATCTGGCATGTGGCAGGGTAAGTGATGTTAAACAGCTAATGGATATTTACTAAGTTACCACCATGCACTCATTGTGTGCAAGACTTTTAGAGGTAGATGGCCCAGCTACCTAACTGGAGACACAAGACATGCATTTATTGAAAAGGTCATATTGCATAAAACAGGTGTTCAATAAGTAATTTCTGAATAAACGTGAACACAAAATGGCAGAGAAGTGTAATTGTAATAGTACTAGAAGCTTGGGTGGAGTTGTAGTGGCTGAGTGGTGGGTCAATGGCTGAAGGTCTGGAACATGTTCTTTGTAATGGGAACACTTACTTAATCTGGACCTCAAAGGCAAAATCACATGGAGGGATAGGAAACAAGAAAGGCAGGAAAGCGAGGTAAGCAGTTGAGAAATGGGGTATCTGAGTGATCCAGAGTGGAAGTAGCCAAGAGCTATCCATAGAACAAGAGGCAAGAGGCATGGAGAAAATGA